TCCTCCTCGGATATGCATGAATGGTTGGATGTCCGCATCAAAATGCATCTTCTTGTAAAAATAAAATAAAACTCAACGTGATGCACTCCCAGAATATTGTTGATATCAAAGACACAAAGGTAATACTTATGGCCATTGTATTTGATCTAAAAATTTGCTAAATTTTATTTTACAGTTCATCAAATAAATCACTTTGTATATAAATATCCTAGTAGAATTTGCATTTTGATGTCAATGAAACGAATAGGGGGACTAACAATTCCTTGAATGTTATGCAATACATCATTGCTAATGGGACTTGCATAAATTTATGTGATGCATCATTATTAGAAATGAACTTCTATTTTTTAAATATATTTCAAGTATGATGATAAACTTTGTAAAGTCATTGTTGATGCATATTTTTTGTAGCTAGGTCAACTGCTTATTGAATGAAAACAACACCTAAAATCATATAGAGTAGCTAAGGTAAATAAAACTATAATTTACACAATACAAACACATCTAGTACCCATTCAAGTTGTCAAATAGTTGTAAAATCCAATGTGAAGTTTTACTTATGAATGTTGCTTATTATTTTTGGTAGACCTCAATTATATGATTTACATGTTATTCACTTTGGGATGCTAATATGTATGATATGTTAGTATCATGATCAAGGCTATTATTTTTTAAAAAATTAATCAAAGGAATGGTTACAATTAAGTATTTATCGAAAAATGTGAGGAATGAAGAACTGTTTTTAAAAGTAAGGGGGTGTTTGGTATCAGATTTATTCGACATTTTAAGTAGGATTTACGGTAAATCCAGCCAAACGCAAATCGGGGCACTATAAATCCGGCAAATCCGTAAATCATGGATTTGTGGATTTACGCCGTAAATCCTTGTAAATCCAAATCCCGTTTCTACTCGGATTTAACGCAACTTACACTTGCGAAAGTTCTTCACGCAGTGCTCGTGTCATGATGTCTTGCCCGACCTCTTTATGTACATGGAGGAAGACGCAGCTTCTTCTTCATCCTGTGCCCTAGCCGCTCCAGAAGCACTCTCGCCAGATCTCGCTCAAGGTCACGCAGGTACTCGCAATTTTTTTTCTTCCAGAGAGCGACAGAGTGAGCAGGACTTTTTTTTTTTCTTCTTCCCGAGCGCAACAGAGCCAACACAAATTTTTTTTTCTTCCCGAGCACGACAGAGCAAAATTTCTATTACATTGCTGCTAAATATGCTTCCAAGCATTTTCAGAAACGTATTAGGTTATGCTTTCATTCTATATTTTTTTACCTGTTCTCGTTTTTACTTAATATCAACGCCACTATTTCTTTTAAATTTTTTTTCTTCCATTAATAGAGTTTACAAACAGAATGTTATTCTTTGCAATGTTTGTTTGTGGCATAGCCCGTTCATTGGACCTAAATTATATAAGCAGCAATTTTATTTCAAATTTGTTTATTTTTTCTTGTTTTGTATTGAACTATTGTCATTTTATTTGAAGTTCAAGATAATACCATTTATTTAGGCAACAATGATATAATTTGGCTTAGGATATTTCAAGTCTTGATCTTTAGTTGAACTTTATCCTAGTTGAGTTGTAGTATGTTTTTAGAATTATCAAAAGTATTGTACTAATTTGATTGACAAATATAATACAATGAGAATATATGCTCTTGTAATAAAAATCTAGGTTTCGTCAATATGAATGTAGCAAGTGTAAGCGACAACGAGTCATCAAACGCAATCTACCTACGTAAGGCTGATAAAAGTTCTTAAAGGAAACCTAATAAAAAAATTACTAGTTTGCACAACTTTTAAATTTCATAGAAATAATATCCTCGTTAATGTCTGACAGCAATGCAGAAATTTCTAAAAGGCAAAGGAGTTGGACGTGCAAGCTGTAGTAAGCCACGTCGTGATGGTTACAACATCTCAATTTACTCCGACCAGCCCAAAAGTACAACTCAAAATCCTAAGTGGCCAGAAGAACATAATGCCATACTTGGCGAGTTGCTATTGGAACAATATGTTAATGGCAATTTTTGTAATGAGAATATGCGAAAGGAATAGTGGGCTAGCTTATTAGCTGTGTTAAATAGGTGTCTTAGAACAAACTACACCGACTCGTCTGTAATGATAAGATTTAAAAATATGAAGGCTGATTTTAGAACACTATATCAACTAACAAACCATAGCGGATAGGGTTGGGATAAGGAATTACACATCCATGTAGCTACCAACAAGTTGTGGGATGAAATTCAATAGGTATTATTTTTTTCTTTACAATTACATATAATTCATAAATTTTATGCATCTAAATCAACCAAACTTTATTTTTCTAGGTTAACTCAAAGGTAACTCGATTTAGAAGGCACCCCTTCCATCATTATGAAATATTTGAGAAGATTTGTGCCGAGGACATTGTAGTGGGAAGTGATGCAAGATGTACTAAGATGTTTGAGCTAGTGGTTAACTTAAATAGTGAGGATGATGCTCCACACTTTGAGGACGATTTCCTAGCTGCTAACGGTGTAAGCTATGACATGAACGGAACGCCACACAACGACCAACCTAAAACTGTTGACATAAATCCAAGTGTAGAAATGGACCCAAGTAGATCTAGCAAGAAGCCAACCAAGGTTGCTAAATGTCCACAAAGGAAAAATGGCTTGCAAAATCTCAATAAACTATTACTTGAGTAAACAAGAATGCAATTGTCTTTAGAGAGACAATTGAACGAACAGATCCTTATAGTATACGTGATTGCTTGGCCAAGTTAGACAAATTTGAGAACCTTACAACTCAAGCACTCCTAGCCATTCAGGATGCGCTAAAAGAAAACAAAGATAACAAAGCAATATTCATGACTTGGGAAGACAATGTCCTAAATAAGTGGATAGAATATATTGTTAGCATGCATCCTCGTTTTTACGCGTCAAAAGTTTAGTTGTAGTTGGTTGATTCACATTGATTGATATATGTTGTTTGCTTTGAGTAGTTTGGTCAACGTTGTAAGCTTTTCTTTCATGTTACTTGGTTGTACTATGCTATGATTGATTTGAAATAATATCGTTCGAATTTTTTTATGCAATCATGTCTAATTATTTGCATAGAGTACTTCCAGATGTTTTATGTGACATGGTTGACTTAAAAATTCAAGTCAACGATGCAATTGCTGAAATTACTCAATCTCTAATACAAGAAAGTTCTTTCTCGGATGATGAACCATCAATTAGGCGGCCTATGTTTAATAGGTCATACGAAGCGTCATTCTCATAGCGAGGCGCTTCACTAACTCGAAGCGCTGTAGTAGCGCCGAAGAAGCCTATGTGCTATAATGCTGAACCAAGGACGCGTAGACTGGACATCGATATGTAATTGATGTGCTTGCTGGCCATCCGGGCCGAGCATATCAATGCTTTAGGCTACCTCCAGATCCATTCATAAGCCTAAGAGATCTACTAGTAAGCCATAGGCATTTGCGTGACACAAAAAATATGATTGCAGTTGAGCAACTATGTATATTTTTGCGAGGAGTTGCATATGCTCATAGTTACTAACAGTTGTGTGAATTCTTTCAGCATTCTTTGGAGACAATTAGCATATGCTTCAATATTGTTCTACGTGCTATTGTATTATTTGCAGATGAGTTCATTAATTTACTTAAGAAGATCCAGAATGTCATCCTTTTGTACGTTCAAATACAATTTTCACCCTTACTTCAAGAATGCTTTGGATGCAATTGACGACACACATATATCAGCAGTAGTTAGCAGCAACATACATAACCGTTATCGCAACCGTAAGGGATTCACTTGGCAGAATGTTATGACAGCAGTGTCATTTGATAGACAGTTCGTATATGTAGCATCTGGGTGGGAAGGGTCAGCTGCAAATATGCGTGTGCTAAGATGGGTTGTAGAGCAAGGTCAAATTGGAGTGCCCCGCAATCATTATTACTTGGTTGATTCAGACTATGCAAACACTGATAAGTTGATAGCTCCTTTTCGAGATATCGATATCATCTAGCTGATTATCGAGGAAGTACTACCAGAAGATATACAAATCAGCAAGAATTATTTAATCACTGACATGCCCAATTGCGAAAACTGGTAGAGAGAACATTCAAGATTTGGAAGGAACGTTTTCAAGTGTTGTCTCACATGAAAAAGTTTCATGTTACTGTTTAAGCTGATATGGTTATTGTGTGCAGTTTTGCACAACTTTATAGGTCGATATCATGGACATAATATGTATTTCAATATGTCACAGACATAAATGGAACACAATAGTGAACGTGGGAATGTTGAAATGTTGGATGAAGATCCTAACTTGCACACAACAATAAGAGAGAGAATTCAAGGAGAAGCGATAAGACATGTTATCGCAACTGATATGTGGAATGCCCGGGTAAGGATATATGTATGCATTAATAATAATTTAGTTTTCATTACATTATTTATGTAATTTTTCATTTTTTTTAATTTCAGATAAATTGTCAAAGAAATTGATCGTCGTAAGGAAGATACTCTCCAATGCAACAAATATCAACATCAACATTATGTTGTAGTCTATTATCTTGTAGTTGTTAAGCGGTGTCCAAAAAAAAATTTCATGTTGTCATGTACTATTTATGCTTTTAGCTATTTTCGTTGAATGATGTTATGTTTGATTTATTATTTGGCATATTACTCCGCCAATTTTAAATCTTTAACCGTTTTAAATCCTGTAATTTGTTGCCAAACAACTTCTTTGGATTTAACTGGATTTGAAAGTTGTCATACCAAACACAATTCAGGATTTATGAGCCTAGGATTTACTAAATCCGGATTTACAGAATTTAGTAAATCCTACTAAAATTGAATCCAATCTCATACCAAACACCCCCTAAAGATATATAACATGTATGAATGGTTGGTGATGTCTTTGGAATTGAGAAATGCATCAAATACTTCAATAAAAATCATGAATCATGTTCTCCAATCTTTCATAAAGGTCAGCAATCTTACCAGAATCAGAATTATCCTTGTGCCGTTTCATTCTATGAAGCTCAAGCTGCGTCTCCATGAACACCTTCATTCTCTGTATCTCAATATCCTTCTCAAATTCCATCCGCTGCTTCTCCAGCTCAATTGTTTGCTGCAGCTTTGACCTCTCCACTCTCTCGTAAATCTCACCAATCTTCTCAATGGCTCTTACAAGCTCTCTAAAGTCACCATGATCCCCTCCGCCACCTCCATCATCCCCAGCTGAAAAAACATCCGATCGACGCCACGACGTCCGCCTTTTCTTAATGGCCAAAGATTCAAACAACGGAACTTTCCCCTCCTCATCTATCCTGTCCATATCCTCCCCGCCATCAAAGTCGCCGTAACCGACTCCACTAACTTCGCGAGAACTCTGCGTAGCATCAGGCAAATTCGTCCGCACCCTTGACGAGCCCCAGGATGACAATACCAGACTGGGAGGAGGAGGCGTTGCAGAGCTAGAATTAGGGTTACGTTGCTTGACTTTAATGCTAAGGGACGGCTTCTCAGGTGAAGGACCAATGAGGAAGTCGAGTCGGGAGAAGAAGGGCCAGGTGGAACGCCCCGGCTTCGACTTCTCGAGCTTGTACTTCTTCTTAAGGGTATCGATTCGATTCTTACATTGGCCACTGGTTTTCCGTGGATTTCCCACAGCGTCTTGCCGGGCGTTCACGGTGTCAGCCACATCTTTCCAGTCCTTCTGCCGGAGATTGCCGCGGCTTAGATGGAGGAAACGGTCGCCCCACGCTTCCACCAACGCCTCCGACGCGTCCTCGCTCCAGCAATCCTCCCGCACTCCGCTCCCGGAGCTGGCCGTGGAAGCAGCGGCAGCGCGGTGCCGGAAGTTCATGGAATATAGGGTTGGAAGAGATGGAAAATGTGAAAGGCGACCAGGTATATGGAAGGGCTCCACCGGCTGTGTGTGTGAAAATCGAAGAGCCGTCGGCCATGCCTCGGTTGACCTTGCCGGCGGTAAGTTTACCAGGTCAGCAATGGCCCGAGTTGCGGCTAAAAGAAGGAATAATTATTAGGTCAAGATACCTGAACTAGCTCTACATTCGGACGCTAATAACATGTCGCTACGTGCACTTATTTTTTACCGTGCGGCTCGACGACCCGGACCCTATATTGCTAACTGATTTATGCAGACCAGGATATTGCTAGGTATTGCTCGGTATTGATCGATAATAATGAGAAATATCAATATGTCAAGATCAATACCTAGCAATACCGAACAATATCTAGCAATACCGAATAATACTTAACAATACTCTGGTATTGCTAGGTATTGCTCGGTATTGCTAGGTATTGGTCTTGATAGAGCAATATTTCTCGTTATTGCAAAACAATACCGAACAATATCTAGTAATACCGAGCAATACATAGTAATATCCGAACAAAGCAATACGGGGTTCCGGTCTGGGTCGGGTCGTCGGGCTGCATGATAAAGAGTAAGAGCACGTGACGACATGTTATTCTAAAAGAAGAGAATTGCTCATCCAATAAATATATTTTTGGTGAACTTATTTAAGAGACAAATAAACCAACAACAATTAGCTAAAACAATAATTCTTATAAATAACATTTAAGAATTTTTATTTTTTATTTTTTAAAAATTATTAAGTTGGTAAAAATATGCACAATAATAAATTTTCATTTCTTGTACTTCAAGTTGATGCATCTGATTTAGGAGAAGATTTCATTTTATTTACATAATAAATATGCATTTCAATATAGAATAAATAAATAATTGGATAACAAGATTGGAAAATATGAGAAATTGCTCAATATGCTTCAAGAAAGAAACTAAGGGTCTATTTTGAAGGAAAGATTATTTTGTGCGTACACCGAAGGTTTTTCAGAAACTAACCAGAATGTGTCACATCATCTCTTTACATGGAATTGTGACTCGGTATTGCTCAATACCACTCGGTACTGCTAACGTGGCTGCACCTGATTCACCTCTTGACATAGAACTGCGTCCAATGTCCACACAAAATAATTTTTCTTTTGCTTTTTCTTTTTATAAAAATAGTTGTAAAATTATTCCAGGTAAAATAATTTCTTAAAAGCTATTGTAAAAAATAAATTTTTAGTACATAAATTAAAAAAAAAAAAAAAAAATCATTTTTTTCACAGAAATCTTATAGTCGTTAAAAGAAAATCGATAAACTAGAAAAAGTTGAAGTATTTGCTGGGGGCTTCGGAGTTCGGAGGCAGGATGGCAAGAACCTCAAGGCTGATTTTGGAGGATGAGTACGAGGTAAATTTGCTTCTCGAAATCTAGTTTTCCTTCTGATCCCTTTTATTTTTTTCCTTTTTTATGGATTCCAAGAATCCGTGTCTCAAATCCTTGATCAAAATTGTTTCTAGGGTTAGGATCTGTACCTACTTGGATTGCTGTGGAATTTCATCTTCATAAAGTTTTTATTTTTTTTATGGAAATCGCTGCCCTAAGAACTATTCTACCCCATTTCCATCTGTTGCATGGATTAGCATTACCCGTTTATAGTTTGTGTTGGGACTTGCTAGATTTGGATGCTATTGCCATCCCGTTCGCAGAACGGTGAAGACTGAAGCGATAGTCATTTTTGTATTCCGGTGCCCTTTTATCGTCTCATTCGTACCATATATCTTTTTCTGATGTTTCTATTTTGATATATATGTATTTAAATCTGAGTTTCTTTTCTTGTTTGGATAGATCTTCGGCCTGCATTTTTTTCATCTTGAATTGAAAAAGAGAACCCGCTTAGTCATTCTAGAAATGAACAAAGCCATGTGACGATTGAGTTTTGTAATACCTAATGCTTCCAATATACGATAGAATCACAGTTTTGTACATACTTCTTAGCTGAATTGCTAAAGTTAAATAGAGTTTTGGTCTGATCTTTGTAATTTTTTGAGCAATCAATTATACTATAGTATAATCTTATGAGTAAGATCCTACTGCTGTAGTTTCTGGTTACGATCCAAGAATCCATAACCCAAACAACCCCTGCAACCTACCTTCAAAGGCTTCATTTTTTATCTTTGAATTCACAAGCAAGTTCTTCATCTTTTTCTATACATGTAATATGTCTCCAACATTTTAAAATGGGAAAAAATCAGGTAAGAAAATTCCACTGAGAGCGTTATTACCCTATTTACACCTCATAACATATATTGCTATTATTTTAACTATCACAATGCCTGGACTGGTTCACTGAGAAATATAATTAGATCTTCCCTTTCTTTGTTTTGCTCGTCTGCCATGGTGTAATATTATAGTTAATGGAGTATGGAAGAATGGTGACAACATTGAGATGATAGTTGTTGGACAGCAAGTTGCGTTTTCTTCCTGTATATTTCAATTTCTCATCTTTTCCTCTTTTTCAACTTTTCTCTCTTGTAATACACTATCGATTTATTTTCCATTTTTAACATGGCAAGGACTTAAAGATTGTTATTTGCAGTTAAGAAAATGCTTGGTGGTCCATGAAGATGTTTGAGAAGCTCACTGCTTGGGGTTTTGGCACCTTGAGTTGTTCTTTGGTTGTTTTATGCTAAATATAACTCCAACTAGAATGGAAGAACTTCAATTTTATCATTATTATTTTGCAATAGAAATTCTAGGTTAGATTTAGATAAAATCAAGCTAGCAAAGATTCACGATTAAGTGAAGGTGATATAATTTATTTATTTTTTTCTGTGACTGAGGCTTCGTTTAGGACGACTTTTAGATAAAATCAAGCTAGCGATAAAAAAATTGTCCCAAACGAAGCCTAAATCTTGCAAGGAGTTTGATCCTAGCTAATGTCCTCCCAATTTTTTGAAATTTCTAGAATCCTTAATTGTGTGATACTGTTGATTTATGTCATGTTCTTCTTGTTATTTCAATTTGTTAATTTGCATAATGAATTGACTGATTGCGCACAGTTTCACCTTATTCTAGGCTGAGCAGAGAAAGCAAGCAGCTGCTGATGTCTTGTATCAATATTCACAGTTTGTTATGGTATGTATTGGGCATGGTGTTCGGCCTACTGATTTAAGGTTGCACTTAATGAAGGTGAGTTTATTTATTTTTTGTGTTATTAACAGTGTGCAAAAGGGTTACTTCAAAATTAAGAGGGCTAAAATTTCATATTACACAACTGTAAGGCAATTTCATGATAATTCTTTCATACTTTGATACTTCTGATAAGATTTATCCAAAATATAGGTAGGGTGGAAAACAGAAAGTAGTGTAAAAAAATGAAAATATTGATCCAAAACCATTTGATTTGAAGGAAATACTAAAATGCTTGAAATTATGCAACCGTTCAGCATCTGTTGCTATTGTTTTAGGAAAACATATACAACGAATCAAAGTAGCAGCATTATCCAGATCACTATGATATCTATTGAGGAATTAAGAGATGACACCTATCACACAATAAACTCCTATTTGGTTTGATATATGTTCTAGTTAGAGAAAATTGACTATTGCATGACCAAGAAACTCTTTATTGTTTCATATTTGATGCCAAGCTCTTTCATTTACTAAAAACAAAATTCTTCACAGATTGAAAATCCATATTATACTGTTGAAGCATAGAGCATGAAAATCTCTCTTTGAGTTTTTGAATGAAACACGCTCCTTGAGAAAATTTATGTGAACATCATGTCTATACTATAAGTGTTGAGTCAAAGCTCTCAAAATGCTCCCTTTGGAAACACCAAAGAAAGCATTCGTACCACTGGACAAATAAATTATTACAACTATAATAGAGAACAATGAAATTACTACAAAAATAAGAAAGTCAAATTATGTAATTCGATCAATAATGACCTACATCCATGAGATGTGGAGGCACAAATGATCCACTATTGAATATATATGGAGTTCAAAAGCATATTTCAAATATTCTTTAACCAAAAGTAATGAGCTTACCAAATTTTAGAGGAATCAAAAGAGAAAAGAGAAGAATTTCTCTGACTAAATTTCCAAGTACAAATTAATCCACACAAGTGATCTATCTCATGCTTTTAGGCTTGCACCTCTTCTCCCTTCTCCCTTTGACATCGTCTCTGTCTTATTCGCTTTATTTAGCCACCTAAAAGAAATTTTGTAAAAGCCTTAAATTAGTCGCAATCTGGTCGAACTAATCCCTTGCTCTCCCTCTTGACTTTTGTTAGGAGTTAGTTCATAGATGCAATCTGATTTAATGTTGCTGCTTCATGCACTTGGCCTTATATATTTTCTACTCTATGTTAGTGCACTTTTTGGTCTTAGATTTTCTTTTATGATGAATAATGATCAATTATTTTTTTTTTTCATTTTGATTGACCTTTATATGGACATAATATTTTGGTAGATGGTTTATTCAAATTAGTTTTATTATTTTAACTTCTTTTGTATGCATACTTATGAATGATAAATTCCATTAAATGAAACGCTAAATTTATTCATGCTATTAAATTGTGTTTCCTCAAAATTGATTCTCTCTACTCTATAATTTCACTTAAAATCAAGTCCCTTCACTTCGTATGTGTTATAAATTGTGCATAAAACTAAGTTAGATAGTTCAAGGCTTTACAAATCTACTGATTAAGTTCATAAAACCTTTCAAAAATTTAAAAAATTAGACCCAAAGGCAATTAATCAGTTCTTTGTTAGGCTATCTTGAAAACTTGTATGCGTATGTAATGGATGGATTACACTTACATGTGGGCATGATTGAATCGGTATCAAGGGATGCTCAATTCCTCAGGGAATTATCCTCTCCTTTTATTGTTAAGTCGAGATGTTTATGCAAACAAATCATCCAATAGAATTGTTTGGGGACGCACTTTCTACTGCTGCCTACATGCTTAATTATGGTCCCTCAAAATTGGTCTCTATGAGTAATTTACACGTAAACCTAATTTAGATAGCTCATGGCTTTTGGAATATGTTGGATATGTTCAGAACACCTTTCATGAATCTGAAAAATTAGTCACAAAGGAAATTAAGCATTTCGTTATAAGATATACTGAAAACTTAAAAGGGTATGTAATGGATGTATTACACTCTCACGATTGCATGTGCATGTTTGAACTTGATCAAGAACTTAAAACCAAAGGAGAACACTTAAGAGAAACAGAACACAACTCAATCCAAATCTAAGTGAACAAACCACTGACAAAATTCAACAAGATGCAAAGACTTAAATAGCTTTAAGAAACAACAAAACTTAAATTAAAGAGAAATACCCTCAGAACAACCAACAAGTAATCACCTCATATGAAACGATAAAATAGGAAAATAAGGTGCTCTAAGAACATTCAAACCAGAGGTCCACCACAACAATCCAGATCCAACACCCGTCGCAACTCCTACGACAAATACCAACAAACTGACCAACAACACCAATCTCACTTGTAGAAGAAGGATACAATGGAAGGGTAACTTGAGGAGAGAAGAACTAGGTAGAAGACTTAGAAGAAGAAATAAGTAGAGAAAAAGATGCTCTCAAGCTTTGAAAGAAAACCCTCAGAGACAAATAAGGTTCAACAACTCCCTCCAACAATAACCAACAACCCCTATTAATAGGGAAAGGAAACTAGCAATCTCATAAAGCAGCCGCCCAAAACAGCCAACCAAAACAGAGGGAGAAAACCTAGGGAAAAAGGCACGGCCAGCCCAAGAACCGAAAGGAAAGCAGCCCAACAGCCAGGAAGAATCAGAACAGCCAGAATCCTAAAATAAACCAAGGAAAAGGTTCGGCCAGCCCAAGAACCCAAGCATCCAGCAGCTTGATCAGCTACCAAGGAGGCACAACAACAACAAAAAAAATCCCAATGCTGAGAACTCCAAACACCAAACACCAAACAACAAAGGGGGGTAATGGGCCAAGCCCACTAATAGATAAAACAGCCCAAAGATGAATATCCAAAGAACCAAAGAAAACTAGCAACCAAAAGGAATGGCATGACTTAAGAGCACCTAACCTACTCATGATCATTGGTTGCCTTCCATCATTGGGTAAACAAAAATAAATCATAAATAAAAATACAAATTACAATAGTTTTCAAAAATAAACATAATAAACATAAAATGAAAGCTATTGAATGCATCAAATTCCTTGAGGATCATTTTTGGAAATTAGGAGGATCTTTATTTATACGGGTCAATTGCTTTGAAGAAAATTTAGCATCATTTTGCTAGATTGGGGATTTAAATAACCATCCTTAAATCCCTAATGATAATGAAGAGGAGCACTTTCTTTGTGGGAGTATTACATCATTTGATGACTAAAAAAAATCTTGACGTGCAAAGAAGTCAATGTTTAATAATTCCACATTTTTATTTCAAAATTGATGACGTAAGACTTATGTGTGTTTCTTTAGATCTTAAGAAGAAGCTCTTACCTCATGAGCTTGTGAAAATTGAATGAATGTTATGCAGGATGAAATGAGCCTTATGACAAAAAATCAATTTTAGAACTTGATTGATCTCCAACCATGTCGAAATATCATTGAAAACAAGGGGATCGTAAAAATTAAGCACAAAGGGAATAACATGATCATCAAATACTAAGCACATCTAGTGGTGAAATGTTATAAACAAGAAGATGGTATAGACTATGAGGATACATTCTTCCCGGGGGAGAGAATTGCTTCAATTCATTTAATTTAGCATTAGTTGCATATTTAGATCTCGATTTTTTCATATGGACGTCAATATAGCATTTTTTAATGGAGAGTTGGATGAAAAAATTATATGAATAAACTTATTGGCTTTATGACCAATGGACATGAACACCAAGTTTGCAATCTTAAACATTTTATTAGCAATATTCTAAGCAATTGAGTCTTAGATTTACGTGGCCATTACCTTTATAAGTTTTGAAACAGTGAAAGTGGATCATTACATGTATGTATAATGGTTTAATGGAAGTTTTTTTTTATCATGTCATTATATATTGATGATATATGAATGGTTGGAAATGATATAAAGATGATTGTTTTCATAAAGGATTGGTTGCCCTCTACATTTTAAAATTTGGATACAAGTAAAATTGGCTTTATGTTTGGCATAAAAATCATGGCTCTTAGTAGTAATTTAGAATGCAAAAACTCTGAACGCATGAAATTACTCCATTAGAAAAAGGGTGCAGCTTTAGCCTTAGGTTTCATTTGGGACAATTTTTTTGCTGCTTTCTAAAACAGCTTTCTAATATAAAAATTTCTTGAATTAATTTTTTTTTATTAGAAACCGTTTTAGAAAACAATAAAAATGCTATCCCAAACGAAGCATTAATGATTGTCCAAAGTTATGAGAAGATGGATGTTGCATGTACATTGTTCCACTAAAACGCAACAGGATAATATGATGTACGTTATGATGTGTATTCGATCCAATAGGCATCAGTAACGCAAAACTCAATCAAGTCGAGATATTTGTATCGCCTTTCGTGTTTTCACGTAATATATGCTTCATTTTGGCCCTTCCAATTTGATATATTAAAGTTGAACCAATACCTTTATTGACATCTTTACTTTGTTCTTTATACTTCTCCAATGATTTCTTAACACAAAACAATATTTTCATAATACATTTATTTTGGCATGAAACAAAATGATTCTCAGAAATTGATGTAATTTCTGAAGCTTATATTTCATTAATTTCTCTCAGAAATTACATCAATTTCTCACAAAAAGTATATTGTTTTACTTACAAGTTTGATTCCTCTATAGTTAGCATAACCTTAAATATTATCTTTGTTTTTAAATATTAATATCAAAATACTTCCTCATGTTTTCTGATGTCTTCATCGTTAACAAAGAATATATCAGATTCACCTTTAATATATCTTCAACAAAAATTCATTTGGCTTAACAACAATAGACGCAGAAGTTGAAGTTCTAAAACCAGAATGATAAGCTAAAACTATGAAACAGGACTATTGACAATTATATTATGAAAGATATAGAGAAGAAGATTCCGAGTGGCACCGTTTGTGTAAAAGAAGCATAAACATTTTCTTCTAAATATAAAATATGATGCTTAAGTGTCTTGGTCAACAAGGTCTCTTTTATCTGTCTGCCATTGACAGAGTAGTCTTTTAGAAATGCTTGTTTCTGTTAATTGTTATTAGAAAAATGTTTAATCAATCGAAGTTATTGGTCAACGAAGTTTGAACAAAAAACCTTAGTCGAACATAAACGCACAAGTCGCTTTAGTTTCCATGGGTCTTCGAAGCATTTCTCAATGGTATGTAGGGATGCTAATATTTGATCAGACCCGAAGCCCGATTCGGAAAATTCTGAGTTTGAGTTAACCCGTTTGCCAATCGGGCTGAGTTTGGGTTCAAGATTTTGACCTATTTATAAAATCTGGCCGGGTTCGGATTGACTCGAAAACCCAAGGTGACTTGAATGCAACCCAGGTGGGTGATGGTTGGTTGTTCTCTCTTATTCTTTTCTTGATTCCGTACGTCGCACAACACTCGCACCCTGCACTTAACTGAGCTCACGTCGCACCCAACCCATGCGACCACTAGCACCCATGTCGCACCCAACCATGCTACGCTCGCATCAAGCAAGCGCGCTTGCACCTTGCACGGTTGTTGGCCGCACCCGTGCTCGCACCCCTCTCTAGCTCTCACGTCGCAAACCTTGCAGTCGCCATCGCTGGCTTGTTGCCCTGCTCGGTACCCGGGTTAGCTGGCGGGTTGGGTTGGCTCAACTCGGAAACCTGGCGGGTTGGATATGGGTCTAAATTCTTGATGCGTTTGCCTAATCGGGTCAGGTTCTGGTTGTGGTAGTTGAACGCGGGTTAGTTTTGAGTTGGACCTGAATCCGATATGAAAACCTATTTTGACTCTGCAAATGGTATGGATCAATATTCATAAGCTGCTTTTAGGTCTCTCTGTCTCTGCATCACTCTACCAAATTAGTGATCTACTTTTTTTTTTTTTTCTAAATTATTTTCCCAGTATAAAAACACAATATCATCACTTATTAAACTTCTGTTGAACTAAAATATGAAATTAATTCTTTTTCAGGAAGTTTCAGGGATGCAAACCTCTCTGAAGAAAGAACCATTGCCATCTCCATCCTTTCCAGATTCTACAGCTGAGCCTTCATCCTCTGGAAACGATAGAGATGATAGATCTTAAGAAGAGCTCTCGATCATCTTAAATATACAATATTTTTTGGTTTTCTCATCTCTCTGGTATTTAGATATCTCACCTTTAATTGTTCAGCTGCTGAATTTCTTTCATGTAATTTATAATATACCTGCTTACTAAATCCTGTAGATTTTTCTTTCCTTTGTATCTCATCAAATGCCTAAGAAGGAATTTCTATATCCTCTGAAATTACAGAGTTCGTTTATTAATTTTTTTTTTTTCTCTTCAAATATGATACTTAGGCTTCGTTTCGGATGGTTTTTTTTTGCTTTTTTAAAACAGTTTTTAAATTTAAAAAAAATTATTTTTTTATAATAAAAAGTTGTTTTAAGAAGCAGTAAAAAAATCGTCCCAAATGAGGTCATATTCAACGCACAGAATCAAGTTTGCAATTTTGTCTCTATGGACGTAGTTTTATTGATTTTTTTTTTTGAGTCAGAATATTTTGATATAAACTTACTAAGATGAATGTTTTTAGTTATTATATTTGTTTTAATATGATTATAATATTATAGCTGTTAATTGATTAAGCTTGTATTACATTATTTTAAAGTAGATATAAGGATGATAGATACTCATATTGATGCAAGTGTAAGTGTTCATAAAGTATATATGAAATAGATTTGGATGATAACATCTTATTAAAATTTAGTTAGGATGAATTTAAAAAATTTTAACTTTATTTTGAGATTAGTATGATATTAAAGTTAATTGATTATTTATGTATTATAGTTCTGTTAAGAAAAGTTAAAAATTAAAAATTTATTTCAACTAATTTTGATTAAGCGATTCCATTCTAAATCTTCCCTTTTTTTTAATTTGAACTTAAACATGCCTCATATATAAGTTTTAAATTCATGATGTTTTAGGTTTTGTTTGAGACATTTTTTTATTGTTTTTTAAAGTTATTTCTTTTAGTATAAAATTACTTTAAAACATAAAGAAAATAGTTCCAAACAAAATTTGAAGCTTAGTTTGTATTAGTTTTTTTTCCTTGCTTATTACAATATAATTTTAGAAATTTTTTTTAGTTTTTTACTAAAAAAATTGTATTACGAAACAGTTCCAAATGAAATCTTGATTAATCAAAGTCTCAAAAATAATTTTCTCTTAGTTTCATCGGAGTTATTTGAGTTTGGTCAAATAAGTAGTATCAAATTTTAAATAACTATTATTTGTGAAGGGAGGTTTATATTGATGTCTAAAGCTGCATGTCAATTATTAAGTCAGGTCACCTGACACGTCTAGAGACCAATAATCACGCGCCACATCATCTGAAACTTAATATTGCTCGGTATACGTCCGGATTTTCAATTTTTTGTTCGGACGTAATAATTACTCGAAGCCGCATGGCCCCGCCGAAGGCCTATGGATTTAGTATTAAGTAAATTTATCTTTTCTAGTCCTCAAAATATGTATAATTAGAAGAATCGTTTTAGAATTTATTTTTTTTAGAGAAATATGTTTAAAATTTATTTTAAATAAATTATTCCTTTTGTAAATGCAGACTGATTAGTGAAGCCTGTCGCCAATGAAATTGGTTCAAATTTAAATTTTATTTCGGATTTAAATGAACTTTTGAACCTTCTTTAAACAAAAGTTTATGTTGGTTGTGAAATACTCTTTCACCCTTCTCCTTTACAAGCCGCTTGTCCCAACAATGCAATCCTTAGCACCTTTTTGTAACAAAATACCTTTTTTTTTTCCTTCACACATTTCTTCTTCCTTCAATACCCTCAATGAGATCCTATTGCGAAATCCTTGTTTTTTTTTTTTCACATCATTGCTTATGTTGTAAAATTTACTTCCCCCTCACACATCTTCGCTCTCACGATAAATTATTTTGTGCGGAGTCCGGATTTTGTCCAGAGGCCAATAAAAATGCGTCATGTCACCTAAAAAGTGTACCGCACTCGGTACCGAGCGTTGGTATCGTGCTCAGTACCGATCGGTACTGGATGGTTCTCCCATCCGGTATCTGCACAAAATATTCTCTCCTCGTCGATGCTCTCAACAAGCTCTTGTCATGAATTCCTTTACTTTTCACAAGCCACCTCTCCTTACCAAACTGACGTTGGTGAAGCTTGGTTCGAACTTAGGTCTAATAATATTCAAATTTAAACTAATTCATATTTATCTCGAATGCCTTAGTCCATTGAGGATTTGGTAAATATAATAATCTCTCATCTAAGGTAACTTCAAATGAAATGAACTTTCATACATATCTCAAAAAAGAAAAAAAAATACCGGTGATATTTCTTCAATTATTCATACTATGAGACATAAAGTTTGGGATGCTTTTTTCCGCTTTATAAAATAATTTTTTAGTATAAAAAATTTATTCAGCTAAAAGTTTTATACAATAAAATTGCTTCATAAATAGTAAGAAAGTCATCTCAAACAACAGACAAATTATTAGGTGCGGTAATTGGACGCCATCCAGAGACGAATAAGAACACGCCACATCATCATTTTGTTGTGTACTGGTGACGTGTACCACTGTGTACAGAATAATGTGACACATTCTAGTTCATTTCCGAACGATCCGGTGACCGCACGTTATAATATCTCCAAACCAAGGCTAGCTGCGTTGGAGTAAAATTTTTGTAGTTGGCAGAAAGTCAACTGGAGTTTGGTTGTTAACCGCAGGTGGATAGGTCCACTTCTCAGTCTCCGCCAGCTGCCGTTTCCTACAAGCATAACTTGTAGCTGAAGCAAAGATCCAAAAATATTTCAGTCTGCTACTTCGGTATTTTTGTAATACTTTGAAGATTATAATGGGTTATGAGTAAATAGATAAATTAAAATTCTAATGTTATATAATAAACTAAAACCTAATGCAACATAATAAATTATATATAAATTGAGCAGAAAATTCTAAATTGAAGCATAGGACCCAAGCTGTGCTTGTTTTTATAATCCACTTTTATTCTTCTCTCTTGTGAAAGTTCAATATTCTAACTCAAAGTCTTCATGGAATTCCAATTTAAGAACTTGACTAAATTGCTCAAGACATTTGAACCAAAACCTTTGGAGATAGAGGCGCAAATGAGTTGAGTTGAGGTTGAGCCACCCTCGATTCGAACATGATTTTGATTAGTTAAATGAGTTTAAGATCGTGCTCGAGTTTAATCTAAGAGTTTGAGTTTGTTCATATGCTTGCTCATTTGGTATAAAATTAAAAATATCATTTTTATTCAAGATGAATAAATAAAAAATTAAATGATAAATAATAAAAAAATACTTGAAATAAAAAAGATATATAATCTTGTTGAATTTGTCTCTTTTGACTTGATGCGGATCCAATTTGAATTTTGGGATTTTTGCTCCTATCCTAAGTTTTCTGTGACGGACTTGATGAATGATTGCCTGATTTGCCTTCATTGACTTATCAGAAAACTTGTATACCTTCGGGCCTCTGCTTCTTGTTTTGGCAAGCTTGGTGAAGGAGAATATGCTGGTGACTTAAACCCTCCGGACTTGCATTAGGTCAGTGGCGAGGGATCATCAGTCTAGAGCTTTGTTAACGAACTTGCTGATGACGAAATCCTCCACTTAAGCACAACTTTATACTAAATATTTTGAATTTTTAGATAGCTAAGTGTATTTTATATTAAGATTATTTAAGCAAGCCAGCTCACAAGTTGACAAATTGAGCCAGGATTGGCTTATGCTTAGCTTGTTAGCTCATCGAGTTCGGTTCATGAGCCATTTATTGAGTCAAGCCTAAGTTGGCTTATGAGTCAACTTCACTCTTACACCCCTAATTGGAGAGTTACAGGTTAATGCACAGGTAAACCTAATCTACTATTATAAATTTTACTGAACATATAGAAGGATAATATTGTATGCCAAGCATTCAAATCCAATCACCATCTAAATTTGAAACTCTGACAAAACTACAAATACAAGCAGCTTCATATGAAAATAAATTATAAGCAATGCTTCATAGATAAAGAATAACACAAAAAACATCATATGCAAAGCTCACAAATAGTTAGAAATGGCAAAAAACAATGATTCTTTTCTTCCTTGCACTAACTCTTTGATATATTTAAGGGCCCAGATTTATTTCTTCTATAACACAACTATGTACAAATTGCTAGAAAAAGACTTGTTACCTCTCATCTAAGTGACATTCACAGCTTATATATTGTATTTTCATTACATCTTCAAAGAAAACTAACTTTGTACAGTAAACACAAAATTTTCTTCTTGTTCCTGCATCAATCATCTCCTCATAGCCATCTTCCCTTCCTTCCACATCACTAACTCTACCATCTCCACAGGTATTTCGAAGCCTGGAAAATGGAGCAAGGGTCTCTAGCATATCATCAATCCAGTTATAATGCCATTTTCTTCCTTCTTCCCACACCATTAATGATCCAATAAGCATGGCTAAACCTCCTCCAAATCCCATACCTGTAAATATGTATTCCCAGCTGGGTTCAGTTGAAACTCTACTAACTGGTTTATTTGATGCTGAAGGAGATTCTGCATTTGGTTTTCTGCACGGAATTGTTAGAGGATTTCCACATAAATCCTCATTTCCTTCAAATGAAGCGTTTGAGAAAGTTGGAAACTGGCCGCCTTCAGGAATTGTTCCAACTAGGTTGTTGTAGGCAAGATTCAAAACAGAAAGGAATGTTAAATTAGTCAGTTCCATAGGGATTTCACCATCAAGATGGTTTTCGGAGAGATCGAGCGATTCGAGTTGTGTCAGATAACCGAGCTGACGAGGAATTGGACCTTTTAAAGCATTTCTTGATAAGTTGAGTAAATACAGAGAATCAAGGTTTCCAATCGATGCAGGGATCTCTCCATCGAAATTATTGTTTGAGAAATCGATGGATTTGTAGATATTCAGAATCTTTTGCAAGTTCATCTGAAATCCTTTGATCGTGATAGTTATCATATCATGATAGTAGTTTGTGTTGAACTTGAAATAGTAAAAGCCAACAGCTGACTGCACTGAATCTTTGTTACTACTCATCATTGCCTTAAAATTGCAAAAACATTCTGCACATAAATTACCACTGAAGTTATTAGATGAGATGTCAAAGATTTGTAGCTCTTGAAAGCTGAAATTTTTTCCATGAATATTTGTTGGAAGGCTGACTGGTCCATAGAGTTTATTGGATCGTAGTATCAGGATAAGAAGCGAAGAAATATTTCCCAACCAATTAGGAAATGTGTCTGTTAATTCATTGTTCCCCAGGTCTAGAACTTCAAGTGAATGACAATTGACAAGAGAACGAGGAAGACGACCCTCTAAGCGATTGCCATTGAGATTTATAGTCTGAAAATTACATTTTTCTCTAATTTGTTGAGGGATAGATCCTTGAAGCTGGTTCATTCTAAGATTTAGAACATTCAGGTCCATTCCATTTCCCATAAGACATGGTGGAATTGCACCAGTTAAGCCATTGTTGGATAAGTCAAGAACAGAGAGAAAAGTTGCATTGCAGAGTGAATAGGGGATTTCTCCACTGAGATTGTTTCTTGCAAGGGATAGAAACAAAGTGAAGTTCAAGTATAAGGAAAGGTTGTTAGGGATGGAAGATGAGAATTTGTTATCTGAGTAATCAAGAACAATGGGATTAGGCGGGGGAAGAGGAATTGGTCCTTGAAGCTTGTTTGAGTGAAGATCAAGCACCATTGAAGAAGCTATGGAGAAATTAAAAGAAGGCCCTTCAACAGAAGTGAAAAAGTTGCAAGAGAGATTCAAGTTAATGAGGTTTCCTTTCCCAACACTCCAAATCCATCTGGGTATATTACCAGTAATACTGTTGTTGGAAAGATCCAGTGCGGTAATTTGATCTTGGAACATCAAGAAAAGTGGTATCTTGGTTAGATTGCATCCTACCAATTTCAAGGTGGCTATCTTGGGAAACGAAGAAAAGGAAGAGCTGTCATCTTCTTCAAGACAGGACAATCCACTATCAGATAAATCAAGATATGACAGGTTCTTGAGAACCAAGATGGAGTTCAGCTGGAAAAATCCAGTGAAGTAATTATTCGCAAGTGAGAGAATTTTAAGTCCGGACACCCGAAAAAGTGACATTGGGATCTTTCCTTGGAGCTGATTATTGCTGAGATCAATATTATTCAACAAAGAAGCCTCAGAAAACTCAGGTAGTTGGCCAGAGAGATGGTTCTGCCAAAGCAGCAATGTCTGCAATTGAGGTAGATTAAAAAGAGTTTCAGGGATTGGTCCGGAAAGCGAGTTACTATGCAGAACAAATTCTGTAAGTTTTTGAAAACCTCTAGCTTCATAAGCTGTAGGAGTTGGGCCTGATATTTGATTTTGTGCTATTATTATCTCAACAACTGATGAAGGTGACTGGAAAGATGGAATCAGACCAGTCAAATTATTGGAGGAGAGGTCCAACCTCATGAGCTGAGTCAAGTTCCAAATTGAATATGGTATTTTCCCATAGAAATGACAGTTTGAAAGATCTAGTATTTTCAAAGACTTGAGATTGCCAATGGTATCAGGTAAAAGCCCAGAAAAATTTGAGTGAGAAAGCACCAAACTTTCCAGAGCGCTTTCCATGGTGAAATCTGGGAGGGATCCGGAAAGCATTGGATTAATGGAGACATCAACAATCGTCAAATTCTTCAGCTGAAATATGTCTTTGGGGAAAAAACCTTCAAGCCCGCAGTAACCTAGCCGAAGCACAGATAAAGAAGTAAAATTAACGAAGAAATCAGGCACAGTGGTGTTCAAACTGTTCCCTTCAAGGTCAATAACGGACAAAGACGGGAGCTTGGATAAGGAAATTCCAATGCCGCCAGAGAGTGAACAGGCTTCCAAGCTCAGCTCTTGCAGTTCGGGAGTCGATCTAGCCAAAGCTCCACACCATTCCTCTCCACTGGCAGAAATGTTCACACCATCAAGATAAAGCACCCTCAAATTACTAATCCCTTGAAGAAGCGTTTCGAAATCTGGGTTTCTGAGCTCGAGCAATGAAGACATACCAGCATCTCCATACGAAGACAGATCCAAAGAAACCAAATTGTTGAGACGAGAGATGCCGATGGGTACTTGCCCCTGGAATCCCGAGTTTGAAAGATTCAGATGTGTGAGATTCCCAAGCTTTTCCCATCCAGAACTTGGAATCGGATTCCCGTAAAACAGGTTGAAGGCGAGGTTCAGAACACGTAAAGAAGAGAGATTGAAGAGGCTCGAATTAATACTACCCGATATGTTCTGAGAGCTGAGGTCGAGATGGACGACATTACTCGAACCACCATCGCAAAGGACGCCGCGCCATTGACAGCAGTTCGTGTTTGGCTGCCAAGATTCCAACTTTGAGAAAGAGAAACCCTTCTTTAGTTGTAGCAGCGCCGATCTCTCGTCGGGGAGGCATCCAGAGACGAAGGCGATGTAAAGGAACAGAGAGGTAAGAGTTAGGTAAGTGGAAATCATCGAGGCGGAGGTATGGCTGCGACCTGCGGGCATGCCCCGACCTGGAACTTTCGCATTAGGGAAAAAAAAAGGGGAATGAAATTGTTTCAAGCGTTTCCGAAGAGATCCAATGAGGAAAGAAAGAGAACGGTGGAAAATGGAAATGACCACTTGATTGACTCTAAACTCCTCTCCCAACAAAAAAGTTAGGTAGAAAATTTAACATTACGCGCTGTAAAATAAAAAAAAAAAAAAATTAAAAAGTATATTTATATTTATCATATTCATATATTTAATATCTAAAATAAAAATTATTTATTTAATCTACCATTTTATTTATCATACTCATGCAAAATGGTGCAGAAGTTTTGGTGCACAATATAGAAGGCTATTGATAGTATTGATGGCACGCGTAATTTTGAAATCCTCGATGATATAGAAATCAGAGGAAGTTGTGATGATATCTTGATGGGGGGAAGCCCATTGACAGGGACGCTGATATGTGCAATTCTGAAACTCACGATGATGAAAAGAGAGGAAGTCGACTTAAGGTCTTGATATAAGAGTGCATCAATGAGATTGATGTCCTAAGTCCCAAAACCCTTAATGGCGAAGAATAATGCATGGAGACGCAAAGGGATCAAAAGTTATAGTGATTTTAATGATAACGGTGCAAAATATTGCAATATTTTATATTATAACGAAATGAGTATGTCAAATAATATAAAATTTTTAACTATAAAATACCTGAAAATGACAATTAAAAATGTTGTTATAGACTGATAGATGGCCAAATTCATAAAAAAATTTGATTAATTAGACGAAAAAAGGGAAAATGAAAAACTTAAAACCTCATGGAAGTCCATTTTCATCAAATTGTTTGTTATTGTTGCATGTCTAAGTGTTCATGGAGATAAAGATAAAGTTGTTTAATGTCTTAGTATTATATGAAGACCCAACATAAATACAAATAAATAAAAATTTACAAGAGAGATTATATTTTTTATGTGAAAAATTCAAAAGGAAAAATCATAGGACTTGACCTAGTTGAAATGGTTTTACTAGTATGCATTATTACTTACAAATGACGTCATTCTCCGTAATAACATAGGCAACATAAAATATATAAAATAGATTTCTTGATGAAGGTTGGAAGAGCACTATGAAAAATGAGTTATTTTTAAGAGGTCGATTATTGTCTCTTAGTTTGTTATCCTTGAGGAGTTAAGACCATAGATCAAAAAAGTCCAACATAAATTTTGGTGCTAACCTTAAAGTCAGAGTTGGCATCAATGATATGCATTGATGCTGTTGACAAAAAATGGATGATAAAGTTAGTGAGTGTTAGGGTGTTCATGCAATAATGTTGATCAAGTGTTTGTAGTTAGATGATGATGGTCATAGGAAGGTACTTGGGCGTTGGTCATCAGACGACCATAATTGGGTGACTCTGATTAGATGATCGTAGTTAGATGATGATGGTTGAAAGACATAAATTGAACTTCGGTTGTCAGAGGACTATAATTCGGTAATGGTGGAAAGAAGATTGTGGTCGAGCAACAATGCAGAAGGACCGTAGTAGAGGTGCTGGCTAGAAGATTGTGGTCTTAGGATTGTGATTGGGCAACAAAGGTTGGAGGATCTTAGTTTGGTTATGATGATCCGAGGACTGTAGTCCGACTTCAGTTGTTGATTTGGACGCAAAATGATTTTGAAGTGCAACATGTCCCATAAATATAACAAAAATTTGAAATACTTCATCAGACATCTCGCATTGGTTCCCTTGATCTTAGAATGTTCTTCTATCATTTAAGTGCCATAATGATGATTGAATCATCCACTTTTAGTCTTATTTGATTTGTCTTGTCAAAATGCTCAGTTTGGATATAAGTATGTGATATTTGAAGAATATTTGGTCATCCAATTAGTTTTTCAAAGCTTTGAGTCATGCTTCAAGTGCTTTGATTTGGGCTCTTTTAGAGTTAGATAATATCATTTTCTGTGTTGATGGAGTTCGTCTTATCATGATGTTCAATTTGACCATAATTTTGCTAAAATCAAAGTTCAGATAATTCTAAATTTAATTATAAAGGTTTCATATCAAATATGTATAAAGATTCATTTCCGGTTAAGTTAATTTTAATGATGTATCAATTATCATATAAGCATCCTAATTCATCAAGATTTTTTAAAGCTAAGTTCCCCTCCTTGCTTAAGTAGAATGTTGGGGATATCAAACTTTTCTTATTTACTTCATAACCCAAAATAAGTTTTTAGCATATCAAATACATGAAATGTGAAACTTGTATATCATCATGTGTCATTTATTGTTGGTTTAAAATTTTCTTTTGAGCTATTTTTTCGATACATTTTACTCTAAAGAAAATCGAGTCAATTAAATTATTTTTTATTTGAGCTTAAATAAAAAAATATATATATACTATTATGTATGATATTTACATACGCCTAATTTGAGTTAAATTCAAATCAATTCAGCCTAATTTGTGCCCATTATATTAGCACAAAAATCATTAATTTGGCATAAAGGTTCAAATAAGCTAATTTATCACCTATTAATTGTCACAAGTGGACTTCAAAATTTATTAGGCAAGCTAAGCACATGCAAAAAAGGTGAGCTTTAGTATATTTTTATGTGTATTTTGTTATATATTATTGTGTATATAACTTTTTAAATCTTCTATGCATAGTTTTACTTAAGAAAGTACTTATTGATATGCATTGGTGCAAAATTTTTATTTAGGGATATTTATATCTATGTATTTATATATTGAAAATATATTTAATATCACTATCATTAACTTATTTCAAGTGAAAAGAAAAATAATTTTTTTTTGCATTTATTATGATATCATTTTGACATTAAGGTATTATATAATGAAATATAAATGTTTAAATATTAGATATTTAAATATATAAAAATTCAGTGATATGCCTTGTGTGCTAGAAAATTTGTAAACATAGAGTGAGAGAGTTTTACGTCCTCGCTTAACATGAAGATCTCACGTATAAATAAATAAATAAATAAAGCATGGGAGTTACAATTTTTTATGTGTAAAACTTACGAAGAAAAAAAAATCGGAGATACAATTTTTTATGTGTAAAACTTTCGAAGAAAAAAAATAATGGGACTTAACTATATTAAAATTATTTCATAATGTTAGTTTTGATTACAAATGTTTTCTTATTACATAATTGAAAATGATATTCTTTGATGTTGTTTGATTTGTCTTGGAAGATCAATTAATTTAAATATAAATTTATTGTAATCTAAATTTAAATAATTTAGAACCCAATTTTAAAATTCCCCATTCAATTTATATTGAGATTCATGCTCGATAATTTATATGCTCAAAGGCTCACACATTCAATAATTTGCTCTACCAAAATCCACAAAATTTTTAAAAAAAGATAAACCTTAAATTATATTAAAAAAAAAAAAGATATTTAGACAGTAAGTGAAATAAACGAATCTCATTGGTTGACAGTTTGACTCCAAAATCTTTTTCTTCTAACTTAATGCGTTCACATTGGAATTTTCTTCGGTGAACGTCAGATTAGACTATTAGAGCATGCGAGTCCAAAGTATCAATAATTGTTGTTGACTAATGACTAATCTATTTGGTTAAGATTATATTTATGATTAATTAATCACCACTTAATTATAATTAAAATTAGTGCAGCTTATCTTTTTTATGTTATGTCGTCGTTTAAAATATTCTAAGGCACAAATTTATTATCTTAATGACTTATCAGATGAGCAGTGTTGACTCCTTTTCTGTATTAATATTTTGTTTAGACATCATAATATCTTAATAATATCAAAATTGGATGACTTGGCTCATCATAATGTTCACATCGAGACTTTTGGTTCGATTATATCATAAATCTCTTATCGAGCACTTGTTTGGTTTATCGAATTAATTATATTTAATGATGTTTGATTAAGATTAATTTTTGACTAAGATCATTTAATTTCGACACTCTTCTTGATTAAAATACTAAGATGTTATTGATGTTGGTGGATTCATTAGACAATTGCTAAGTATATCAAATCTTTGTTGATAATATTATATTCATTCAACATCATTTATTTATTTTTTGATATTACTGGATTCATCTCGGCCACACTTAATTTAATTATAAGTTTGTTGGCAATACCATTTAATGGTCCTCTAATTGATTATAAATAATTTTTATTAAAATTCAGAGATAAATATTAGAGTGACTGAGAATATGTTGTATAGTACCGCCAATGTGAAAGAAATCTCCATAGGGTATAATGCGCTTATGTATATAAAGAGATATAATGCAATCAAAGAAAAGATGAGTATGAACTTTATTTGTAGAGTAGAAAAAGAGAACATGTATCATTGAGACTAATTCCTCTTTGAATAAGAATATTAGTGATTTTAAGATCCCCTTTAATCATTTTCTAAGTAAAGAATGCATAGTTGATAGCCATTCCCTTAAACTATATATATTTATGTGAAACCAGCTTAGGGAGAGCGTGATGAATGTTATAAAAAATAAGCTTATTTGATAACAAAACTTTTCCCAACCAACAATAGGTCAAATTGCTATCTTGCAAAGAAATGCTAATAAGCGATCTGATTATTAGTATACTAAGTAAGATTTTATTCAGAAAACTGAGGGAGAAATGAAAAAAATTCATAACATTATATCCATATTTCTCCACAAGCAAACCGTCATTCATCTAAGGATAAAAAATGTGAGAGTTAGAAGCCACCCTAAAGTTCAACGTGTTTTTCATCCTATAAGCATAGCCATGCAATAGTTTACAAAAAGAGGAGGACGAGTTTGTAGGCTTAACCCAAATGGAGTCATAGGCTTTACAACACCAATTTGAAAGGAAGTGTTAGTAATGTGGAATCTCCAAATGATTTTGACTTTAAATGATGTGTGAAGATTGTCAATAGAGGGTAAGCCAAGATCATATCTATCTTTAGCAGAACAATAAAGAAAAATGAAATGGTGTGACACTTATAGTTGATACCATTTATATACCGAAAGATGTTAATAAGGCTAGTGATTTTCTTCCAGACCTTCTTGAGAAGGGTGACATATATCAACCAGTAGTAAATATAATTCTAGATGGTGGCACAAATAAGTTAAAATCTAATAGCAAAGGAAAACAA